AAAAAAAAAAAGAAAGAAAGAAACAGTTCAAGGGCACCAGGGATCCCACGCCCTCAAGGCGGACAGGAAACTGGGGAGCAGGTGGCTGCAGAGGCCCCGGGGACCAAGCCCATTCCAGAATCTTCCGCTGACATGAGAGGAGACTTTCTCTCAGAATCACATACAGAGACACACAGACGGTGAAGAGTAGGGAGGGGCTCACGCCGCTGCCTTCTGTTCTGGGTGGGGGTGAATGCTGGGCCATGCCACGGAGCGCCAGAGCACCCCTCGGAAAGGCAGCACATCTTCCATCAAGTCACAGAGAGCTTGATGAAGGCGCTCTTTCCAGTCACGGCCACCTACAACAAGCACCGTGCGTGATTCCTCGCTTTTTCTTTGTGGTTAAACCATCAGAAGGTTGAAAAATTAGATTTCAGAACAAACGGGTACGTATAGGCTTGGCCACTGCTCCGTGGTCTCACTTCGGTGGAATTAAACAAACCAAACATGTTTGGGGTTTGCAGCGTCAGGCAGCAGGAAAGGACCTGCACGCCACACAGAGGGCTTCACGCTCGAGCTCTGATTGCACAGCCTGTGGCTCAGCCCACGAGGGCTCTTCCACAGCGCTGTCTGTCCACATTCACTGCCTGCTGAGACCTACCCTCCTGGTGGGGACACTGCCCGTCCGTGGTCTGTGGAGGAACCAAATCCACTTGCAGCTCATGGTAACGAGACCTTCAGCAATGCCGTGTTTTAGAAACCCACCAGTCACGCCCATTCGTTATTTACCAGAACCACTTATATTAATTATGTATCAGATCGGTCCTCCTTCCGGGGCGGGGGGAGAGAGAATCCCAAATCAATAATAACACTGTAAACGGGAAATCCCTTCTAGTCACCTGGGGCCTGAGATCATTAGGGAAGGGACTTGATAACCCTGTTTATAATTTTAACCAAGAACAAATACGAACAAAAACAGTATGTCATCACCCTTTGCTTTCCACAGGTGATTTGAAAGCGATTGTGGCCAATACAGATATGGGGTCACGTCGCTGCAGATCAGAGAAGGATCCAGCTGCAAAGTTCATTAGGATGAAATAAAAGCACGCTGCAGACCCACGGCCGAGGGCTCTGGAGGCTGCACTTCGATTCCAGTCATGCGTGGACACGGCTGAAGCGCTTCTGTGCGCAGCGAGGGCGCGTCCTCCGCATCGTGGCATCTGGTGAGCTGCCCTTGGTCTTTGTCTCACATACGTTTATGTTGAGTTAGCGTGCCGAAGAAACCAGCTAATCTACCTTTTCCTACAAATGACAGTGACCCCAAGTTTTGGATCCAATGTCAGGTCTAGTGCCTCATCACCTGCAGTGATTTTAGAGTGACGGGAAAAGCGGTGGACAGGCGCAGGCCACCAGGAGCCCTGGTGGTGGCATAAGTGTCACCTGTGCATGCGGCTCTGTGGGGAAGGGCTGAGAACCCCAGGGGTTGCAAGACACCCCAGGGGGACCGCCGGCATGCAGACCCTCAGACTCAGGTACAGGGGGCCGGCGCCCGCAACATCTGGCGGGAAATGGAAATGCGATGCTAGGAATGCCAGTTGGAACCTGCGGAAGGCCGTTATTTGCACTTTTCCTGTTTATCTGCACTTCCCAGATGTCCGTCCCCCAGTAATGGTGTGGAAAGGGCTGTGGAGTGGCCACCGCTGGGCGGTGGGACCCTCGTGGGTCTGGAGTCCAGGCTGGGGAGCCCTCGCCTGGGGGTTCCTAACAGTCCCGCAGTTTTAGCAGAAAGCCACGGCAGCCAGTGCCAATCAGCCTTGTGTTTAATACAGAAACACGTGCACGCCGCAGCCCGCTCGCCTACTCGTGTCTTACCTTACTGCCCTTCTCAGCACTCAGCTCCCGCTTGCCTGCGTGGTTTCCCATCCTGAACCGACGGGGCTTCAGAAGCTAAAAAAAAAAAAAGAGAGAGAGAGGGTGTCAGCCTCAAAGCGGGCACTTTCGGAATGTCCTGCATTGCTTCCCCATCAGAACAGCGATCCCGTGACATATGCCGTGCCCGTTTCTGAGAAGAGGAAAGTAAACTCCCAAACTCAAGAGGCACGCTGCACGTCCTGAGCGATTCCACGCACGGAGCAGAAAATCGGGCAGCTGTCACATGGAATTCTGCCCAGTGACAAACAGGTTGCTGTGCTTTGTCATCTGTAAAACTGCCAGCCCACCTCAAGCAAGCGCGTGGGTTCTTCCCACACAATCACACGCATGCAGAGGGTGTCCCAGCTCATGCTCGGGGCAACGTCACGGGCGAACCCAGATGCGTAGGAGGGCTGCTGCCCCCCCCAAAAAGCTGGGAACTATGTGAGCACAGAAACCACGGGGTCAGACCAAGGCCAGCTTGTCAGACAACTATCCCAGGGATCTGCCCAACTTCCAAGGAAGATAAAGCTGGACTGAGGGAAGTGTGCTCCTCATTTGTACTTTCTAACCCGAACATCAGCAGCAAACTCATGATTTTTTTCCCCCAAAAAGCCATAAAACTGAAGAATTTAGCCTAACCCATCCCAAACACATTGCGCGTCCCACCACGTCGCTGGGCCTGCACAAGCCACCAGGTCCCCCTTAGACCTGGCCCCGGTGACCACGCGCCAAGGACAGACACAAACTGTAATTTGTCACGATGTACTCTTCAAAGAACGCAGGAGTCCCAAGTTCCTGCAGAACATGGAACAGCTCTCCTTGAAAGGTCACAAATGAATCGTCCTCTAAAATGGGAAGAGGGGGTTTCTAAAATACTACATATGCCCACACGACAGGCTCGGCGCGGTCCCCCAAAGGTACTGTTCAGAAAACACGGCATTGCCTGGTATCGGAGCTTCTCCAAAGCCCCGCATGGGCTGGGTGCCCCTTCCATGACTCACAAAGGCTAGGGATGCCCATGTTCGTAAGGTCCCCAGTGGACATGCCGATGGTCCTCAGGATGGGCGAGAAAGGGACAGTGACATCTCAGTGTCACCTCCCAGTGTGTGGGGGGAGGTGAGCTGGTACACAGTGGAGAGTAAACAACCAAGCCCTTCACATTATGTAACTGGAAACTGGGACAGGTGACATTCCGGCGAGAGCCCCACGCAGAGAGGGATTTTTACAAAGGAAGGACTTCAACCGACGATGATTAAAGCAGCAGGAATGACTGCAAATGGAAGCTGGGGACAAACACCCCACAGACCCTGAAGAATCATGCGAATGCTCGTGTTTCCTGACATGACAGGGGAAAAACAATATTTTAAAATGCACGCTTTTAAAAACGGAAGTCTACCTTTGCAGATAATTTCGGAATCCAATGTGATTCTATCATCTACCTTCCTCATTTATTTTATTTAATTAGACAACAATAAAAACCTTTCTGGGGGTGTTCTCACTGGGAACACGGAGGTTTGGAGCACGTGTGTAGTGTACTGGACAGGAACAGGCACACAAGGGAAAGGGAATTTGTGTTGGCCTCTTGGGGTCTCACCTGCAGTCTGAGAACACGAGTGTGTGGACTTAGGGACGCTGGTCTGACAGCCGGTGTGGACAGCTGTCACTCTGAAGCCTGACCTCTCTGGCTCCATGCAGGGTTTTAACCAAATGCTGAGAACTTGCAATATGTACATAATACATGCAATAACAGTGCACCAAACACTTGTGGATCTACCCCGTTTCAGAAATGAGAATTGGTCCATTCTAAACTTAACACAGGCAAAATACCTAACTTCTCTTCATTGAAGCTGACGGCCTGTACTTGCGGGGGTTTCCCGCTGGGGCATAAGGAACCTCCCGGTACCATGTCTGTTCTCACCTGGGCAGCACCTCCAACGCACATGCTAGCCCTATTTTAATCACTATTTGGAAAACTCAAGCCTTCTGAACACAGAAGTAACAAAATTCCGGGTCAGACCTCTGAAGGTGTACAAGACTGGTTAGATTTGATCGGCGTCTCTGATTAAAAGAAAGAGACTTTAGAGCAGGCAGATTCTAGCCTTAAATGCACAACTTACATGGTGGCAGGAAAAGAAAGACAAAGTAAGGACTGGCGTATGGCAGGGCCTCCCTCATCCCTGGGAAGACGGTCCCGGGGCGCACGGTGGTGAGAAGGATGGCGTGCATGCGTGCGTGTGCGTGGGTGTGGGCAGTGCTGAGGGGTGGTGGGGGGCTCACAGAGGCTGTGCCCTTGCTGCAACTGTGCCAGACAAGCCGGCACCAGCAGCTGGGCTCTGCAAGATGCTGAAAAGAGCCATCTGCACCAAAAAGTGCCGGACGTTGGAGGTCATCTTCATTTCACCTCCTTTTTGCAATTAATCAAACTGAGAGAGCAAGAGAAAAATTTGGCCAACATGCGGAACGCTGCATGGGAGCCAGGCTGACGCTGAAGCCTCTCTGGGTAACTTGAGAAGCGTTCTGTGAAATATTGAACAAAGAACGTGTGGGGGAGGGGGAGAGACTTTTAGGTTATGTCAGGACACCCTCCGTAGGCTGAAACTCAGTTCTAGATGAAATTTCCAAACAGCTGCTGGGTTAGTGAAAATGTCCGTGTTCACAGGATTCTCCACCCACACTGTGCCAGCTAGCGGGCACATCGAGCATGGGCAGTCAGAGTCGGCAACCAGGACGGGCTGGAGAGCCGCCCAATCTTAGCTGTTTGGCTGCATTTCTAATAACACGCTCCACTGTGTTTGAGATTCCTGCACGTTATCTGGTGGAGACCCTGACGAAATCACAGATAAATTCCACGTAGCCTGGGAGTGGATGGCGAAGCTGAAATGCTGGGGCCACAAGCTTCTCCGTATTTCAACCACTTGTATTCTTTGGGAAGTTCTAGCTCTTCAAAGTGCCAACAGGGCACTTGAGACCTGGGTCCCCACCCGGCCTCCTGCTGGGAGACCTAGGTCACTTCCTCCACCTCTCCGAGCTGCCTCAGTTTCCCAGACAGAGGAACCAGTGAAGGCTCCCTCATGCCCCGTGAGAAGGACATGCACCCAAGGGGGCTGGCGAGGGGTGGGGTGAGGGTGAACTGAGGGGCTGGCTGGTCTCTTTCCTCTCACCAGGTGCCTGTCACCCGAGTGGCTGCTGAGTGGCTGAGCAAACGTCTCCCAGCTGTCTGGCGACCCACCATCGCCCCCATATTGCAGAGAACGTATGTGGACACCCACTTTTAAACTGCCAAGTTCTGGGGAGGGAAAGGAGTAAAAAGCCAGCGGCCCTTGAGCCCAGCAGTGGCGTCACACAGCAGCCCACGCAAAGCTCGCTGTCTGTCCCAGGCCACCCAGGCGCATGGAGTGACGCAGCTCCTGCAAGTTCAAGGCTATGCTAAGTGGGGAAGGGACTGCAAGGGGAACATGCTAACGATACGGTATTAATAGTAACTCTGCAGGTGTCGGGCACTGACTCACCTGGGGCCCACTTTGGGAGGCATATCGGTGTCCAACCACTATGCGGTACACCTGGGACTCGTGTCATATTGATTGTCAATTCTAACTGAAAAATAACAAAAATGTTGGGTTGTCGGAAAAGTCATGATGTGGTTTTTCTATGTTTTTTGGTGCAAAAATGAATCATGACTTCTCCGACACCCCAATATATAAAGACTATACTAAGTGGGAGCAGTGAGAGGAGAGACAAGGGGACTAGGAGGCTCAGAGACAGCCGTTCCCCAGCCTGGAGGGATGCATTCCTATAGGTAAGGGGCTACTGTGAAGGCTTTCGTTTCAATAAGTTAATGTTAAGATAGAGAACCCTCAATTCAAGTCTTCCCAGAGAGGGGGCTTAATCCACGCGGTTGCCAAGTCATCCCACGCGTCTCCCCAAACCTCCCAAGGGGTACGTGAGATGAACAGGGGCGTTAGGGCTGCGAGGCAGGCCAGCTGTGGGGAGGCGAGGCCGAGCGTCTGCTGTCCGTGTGCCACTGTATGTTCAGGCGCATGACCCTTCAACCCGTCTGGCTGCATTTACGCCCCTGTTGCAGGAAACGGGTCACAGCGGTGCTGTTTTTACAGATTTGTGGTTCTTTTAGCTTCGATTTCACAAGGTACTGTTGATTGTGCAATGGTTTTTTTTTTTTGAGTCCATGTTTAAGAAAGTACTTCCTGAAATTAATGTTTCTATGGAGATACAGGATTAATCTTACAATGATGTGCTTTCTCCCTTACGTTATGTATTTAGAGGAATAATCCTGTAAGTTTCAACCCCATTTTAGCTGAGAAAGACTGAATCTATATATGGGAATAAAAACGCCTCTAGGAATATAGTTAGACATGGGGGTTCGTTGGATGTTACTTACATTATGAATATCTCTTATGTGGATGAAAGTGTTATGGTAGGTCTAAGATATCATACATTTCTAAATTAACACAAGAAAGAGAAGACCTCACTCTGACAAGCGGCCCCAAAACAATGTACGAATGACAAGGGCCGGGTCCTTACAAACGCCTGTACAGGGACACGCGAGTTTTATAATGAAAACTAGAGACTTTCTTCCTTCCCTACCTGTCATCTCGCAAAGACAGCTGGTGAAGAGTGCAGCAGGGGGTTATCTGGGTGTTAGTCCATGCCTGCCAATCATTATTTGCCAGGGGCTTAGCCAATCGCATGTCTCTCAGCTCCTGACTTCTGTCTGTATCTGCTGTCTGTACCCTATGCCTACACGTCACAGGGAAAGCCACCAGCCCCGGCCACATACCAACTTCATCCCCTCGCTTCCTCAGAGAACAGCTTGGGTTACACACGGTGCCGTGTGCACAAGGAGACAGACAGGAAGTCCATTACGACCCCAAAGCACTAACTGTCCACATGCATCTGAGCGGTAAAGGTTCCCCTTTCTTGTCATAAAAATCTTTCAGTAAATACCTTGCTTCATAATCAGTAGATACAACGCTTCACAAACCACCGGGTAATTTGTCGTTTTCATTAGTCTCCGG